ATTAGATAGTTGTTGAATGACGTTATAATAAAGGAATTTCTGGTCTTTTTCAATGAATCTAAAGGTCTTAAAGGAAACTTTTGAAATGAATAGAATCGAAGAATAGAGCTTGAGTTTAAATGATACAGAAACAGTATAATATTGTATTTATAAAGCTAAAATGACGTGAGATGGAGAAATTCTGATCTCAATTATTGTTTGACTGAAAAGAATCGAGAGAGAGAGACGCCCACATGGTTCATTTAGAGAAAAGAGAGAAGCTGAATGAGTGGGCCCTTTGCAGGTGTAATAAAAGGACTAAAAATAAAACAAAAAAGATCTAATCAACGTAATTGTGTCGTTTCCCATATCGTTTTTTTCTCCAATTCTCCATTTCTCTTTTACCAAAAAACATTTGATTTCAAAATTCCTAAAATAACTTCGCTTAGAGTTTTTTTTTAGATTACATTCACAAGGTAGAAAATTGGTGATGTTTAGTAACTCTAGATTTCTGTTGAAAGATCTCTGAACCATTCACTCAGAACCAGAAACACTCACATAAACATTTAGCCAAAGAAGTGAAGCAATGAGCTTTTTACCGATAGAATAAACTCACCAAAAAACATCTAATTAACGCAAATTGGATCGTAAATTGTATTGTATTGTATAATTGTATATTGTATACTGTATATTGCATCTAACTAACGCATAATTATCATGCCATGGTTCTGAGCAGCTAGGTTTGTCAAAATTAACTTGATCATTTGAATTTTTGCTTGTAAATCTTGAGGAGTCTTCTGTAATGGTGCTTTTTATCTAGTTGATTGAAGATCATAACTTTTGAAGGCATACTTAACTCCCTGAAGTTTGTGAGAAAGAGCTTGACAAGCAATGTTTCTTCGGGTTGGCGGTTATTCCAATCATAAACCCTACATCTTGCTAAACTGAGAAATTCAAGGTTGAAAGCTTGCGTGTAAACCAATGCAACAAATCCCTTTTCTCATCCATTTTCTGCTCAGACTTCAAACAAACGCAGAAACCATGCAACAAATCCCTTTTCCCCATTCATCTTCTGCTCAAACTTCAAACAAACGCAAAAACCATCTCCTTCACTTTACAGTTTACTTTTGTGAAGAATTCTCTCCTTATTTACTTTAACTCTTTAAATTTAAATGAAATGTAACTGTATTTGTTTCATTTAGTTTTAAATTTAACATGAAATCTTTATAAATCTTTGATCAATCCATTCATCGATCAACATCGACAATCTCAGCTACCAATTGTGTTTCCCGTTTGATTTGATTCCTTTCTCAATGGATTCCCTCAACGGTTTCTCAATCATTTTCAGCCCAGAAGTCGTTAAATGACATCGATTCTCAAAATAAAGCAATTCTGTCTCTTCATCATAGGCAAGTAGTCGATGATTTTTCATGTCTAAATGAATTTTTTTTTCTTTTTCTTTTTCATAAAACAATTTTATTGAGAATACTTACCGATGAAAGCCTCAGCAACATCGATTCGATAACAATTCGAACATTTCTCGAAAACTATTCTCAATCTTTGATAAACAGAGCTATTGTAGAAAGCTGGGATCTAAAGAGAGAGCTTTTTGAGATTAAATTCTATTTTCTTTAAAAACTTGCATTAAAAGGACGGTTGAATTTCTTGAGATTTGTCTTTTTTTGCAATGCGTCGAGGAAATGATTGAGAAGTTTCTTTTCTTTTCCATAACAATCAAACGGTTGATGTGTTTGGATAAAAAGTTTCTTTGTGAAACGACTGAAAACGATTTGTAAATGTTTTTTGAGAAATAACAAAAGCTAAGAGCTCAGTTTTAAGTCTTGTCCATTGTTTGAGCCCTCAGAAACATACGGCACATTGAAGTCTTGACTCCAAGAACATTAAATGTACCAGAAAGCGTGCGTTTTTAGAATAAAAAGTACAGCCTTGATCTTTGTTATCCCTTTTCTACCTGAGGTTATGAATTCCTTCCAAATATTCTTTCAAAATTGAATCATTTCGACCAATGAACGGCTCTAAGTCTCGATTTGTGCAATACTGATTATATCTAAAGATCAAATAGCTAAAATCATTATAAACTCTTACCTTACTAACAAGAAAATATAGTCAGGCTGGAGTTTTTTCAAGAAATCCATCAAAAATGGTGTTAGTTCTGAAAGGATTCAGTAATAAAGAAAGAAATGAAGAAAATTCACCTTTTACAGTGGGACTGTTCCCGTGAAGTCCAAAAGTGTAAGCACCCTGTGAAAAGAGATGCATCTCAGCCACTTCTTCTTTCGGAAACATCTTTCGAATCAACTAAAAGTATTGATTAAGTTCAATCCTAAAGCAATCAGCAATTTACATGTGCTTCTTGAGTAGCCCAAGAGTTCCCAAGAATCACGATCTTTAGATGGCCTGTGTTACCCTGAAAATATTTTTAATTTCAAAAATACCGCATTCAGCTGATACTCGCCGTTATAAACGGCTTTCTGGCAAACGATCCTTTTATTAAGTATGCCAGAAAGCAAGTGTTTACTGGAGAACAAAGATTCTTCAATCTCACCTCGTAAACATAATGCCCAAATGGTGGTTCGGCTTTCATAAAACCATCATCAACAAAATGCCCACCCTCCAATGGATACAATGTATCCAGGAATTTCTCATTCTCTGAGATCACCGATCTGTCACCTATAGATTTTGATCTTTTGCAAAGCTAAAACTCAATCAAAAACCACATTCGGGATTCAACATCATTTTCCATTTAAATCCAATCAGCAATGATAACGCGAAATATTTAATGCATACAGTAAAGTTTTCTTTGCCAGCCCGCAGAAGTGGCTTTTCAAAGAAATGATGAACGAGAATGCTGATGAGAAAGGTGAGGAATAAAGCTGAGATTGGCACTAGATTTTCTTTACTTTATCAACAAACTTTCCCCTCATTTACCGTAGTTTTCTTTTTCAAAATATTGCGCAAGGTATTGACTGAAACGGAGTACCGGATAATGGACCAAATAGAGAGCATAGGAGATTTGAGCAATGTAACCCAGATGGAAATGAGACCAGCGAATTGTGCTAAAGAAAATGTTATAATTGTACAGTACATTGTACATGATTGTACATTGTACATTGTACATTGTACATGATTGTACATGTTATCATTGTATAGAAACTCGAATCGGTATTTTCTGAAGGTTTTTTCTATGATTGGGACTGGAGTCTCAAGTAGAGTTTAACCCGTTTTCTGAAGTGTTTTAAGAACTCCCGTAACTTGCCATAATCTGTTTACTTTTGTAGTTTTCGGTGTTCTTTCATGAATCATTAAATAAAACCAAGTCAGACAAGAACCTAGTTTTCAAAAGGAACACATTTTAAACGAATTTCTTTAATATTAAGTTGGCAACTTAATAATGACGCGTTTATGTAACAAATCATTTATTTTAAAAAAAACACAAAAGAAGAGCTTTCAATTCGAAAGGTATTCTCCATTAGTATCTATGACTTCTTCCCATCTTCTGCGCAAATCCCGGATTCCATCCTCGAAGAACTTGGGAGTTTTTGAGGCGAAGTAGTCATTCACGGCTTTTATGACCTGAGCATGATCATCGAACTTTTCTCCCTCCAAAAAGTGCTTCAGCGACCGAAACAAAAAGTAATCTGAAAGAGCCAGATCAGGTGAATAAGGCGCGTGGGGGCAAACTTTCCAGCCAAGTTCCCGTTTTTTTAAGTGATCTTTGCGTGTGAGGTTTTGCGTTGTCGTGTAAAAATCTGACTCTCTCCGATTTGAGCCCCAATTTCTTCAAAGACTCGTTAACTCTCTTAATTGCTTCGAATAAAGATCAGCTCGACGGTTTGGCCAGGTTTCAGCACTTCATAATGCACCAATCCCTTGAGTTCCACCAGTAACAGAGCATTATCTCCTTCCCATGGATATCAGGTTTGGGAGTGGTTTGGGGGGTCTGCCCAGTAGATAGCCATTAATTTTTGCGTTTAACGTTCTCATAGTTGATCCACGTTTCGTTAGAAGTCAAAACCCTGTGAAAAGTCGTTTGATTTACTTTTTGTAGCAAACTTGAGGCGACATTTTGTTGCTTTGGGCCAGTTCGTGAGGAACCCATTTTCCAACTCGATTCTTTCCCAAGTTTGTGTAAATAGTTTTTGATTGTCGTATGGGATACTTCAAATATTTCTGCCAACTCACGAACGGTGAGTGTTGGGCAATCTTCAATTAAGGCGAGCAAGTCATCGTCGACCACTTCTGGAGGATGTCCTTGGTGTGGCTCGTCTACGAGGCTTTCATCGCCGCCTTGGAATCTTTGAAATCATCGTTGACATTGCCGAATGTGTATACTTTCCTCCCCAAAAACAGTGATGATCGTGCGATGAGATTCAGCTGGTGATTTTCCCTGTTTAAAATCGTAGAACAATGCAGCTCGAATACGGAATTTTTTGTCCTCCATTTTTTGCCAAAAAGCGAATGATGAAATTTGCAGCACTAAATGTTATTTATGCAGATATCTTTTACTTTGTATATATGCAAAAGAGAGGGAAGAAACGGCGCTTGAAATTACAAAAACCATGTTAAGTAGTGACGCGTCATTATTAAGTTGCCAACCTAATAACTACAAATGTTTTCTCACCAATTCGCTCCAAAAAGAATAAACCCTGCCGACGAGATTGTGACGAAAATTTGAAAGAAACTCAGTGAAGTGACTTTGTAAAAAGGCAGAAAAATGAAGAAAGTGTTGAGAAGAAAAATTGTTGCTATGAGATTTGATTTGGATGAGGATGAGGCTGAAAATCTTTTACTATAAAAAAGTATTCTCTATTTTACCTTTCTCAATCTTTTTCGTATACAACGAAGCACCCATTCCACATAAAAACTGCCAAATTCTGCTAAATGGATGGTAGAATGAGGTGATCGATGAAGTGTTGAATTGAAATAATAATGAGCAAAGAAAACAAATAAACAACAGAATGTGACCGAATTTCAGAGCTAAAGTGATATTTCTTTAATTATTTTGAAATGTTACTTTCGATTTTTGATATGTAAAAGAGAAACGGAGCGATTAGATAGAATTGCATTTCAACACCGAGTGACCACGAATGGAGAAGAGGAAGGTCTTCAGTACCCTGGAATTCAGCAATTCTAAAACCTTTAACCTTTAATGTTTTAGATCAAAAAGTGTCAATAGTAACGTCGAGTACGACAGTATCTAACAGTTTTAATCTTGATAATAACATCGCTAGTCACTCAAGGATAGATGAAACTAAAAAAATCAGATATTTAGATCAAAATCAGACTAAAAACAAGTTAAAAAAACCATGTTTTTTTGAAAGTATTAGATTGGCGCAGATGAAACTACCGTCACACTTGTTTGTCTATATTTTGGATCTAATAAAAGTTTTCATTGAATATATTTGTCTATCTGAAAGAGCGTCTCTTTGCGCGTCTTTTGATATCTAAGACTCATGCGTTTTACTTAATTTGAAGTAATTTTTAGCTTCTAGAAAATGGTTGACCAAAATTTTCGAGTGCGGGTTTGCTTGTTGTATGATTTTAAACAAGGCAGAACGGCTGCGGAATCCCATCGTGCTCTGTGCAAAGCATTCGGTGATGACGTGTTGTCCGAACGCCAATGCCGGACTTGGTTTCAGCGCTTCCGAGACGGTGATGAAAGTTTAGAAGACGAAACACGCGGGAATCCGTCTCAAATTGTCGACAACGATGAGTTGAAGAACGCTATCGAATCGGATCCATGCCAAACAAATCGGGAGCTTGCAGAGCCGTTTGACTGCGACCATACAACCATTCTCCACCATTTGCACGCAATTGGTAAGACGAATCGGTCTGGAAAATGGGTGCCACATCAGCTCAGCGACGCAAACAAGGCGGTTCGAGTTACAATGGCTGGAATTCTCGTCTGCCGCGCAAAGACCGCCGATTTTCTTGACTCCATTGTTAAGTCAGATGAAAAGTGGATATGTTACGACAACACAGCGAGAAAACGGCAGTGGTTCGACACCGGTGAACCGCCAAAACCGACTCCAAAACTGAATATCCACGGAAAAAAGATGATGCTTTGTATTTGGTGAAACAGTAAAGCTCTCGTGTATTTTGAGGTGCTAGATTCGGGCCAAAGAGTCACGGCGGATCTCTACAAAACCCAATTGAGCCGCTTGGACCAGGCGTTGCGTCGTCAAGGCATAAACACGGCGACTACAAAATTCCTCCGCGACAACGCTCGACCCCACACCGCGAAGATCACTCAGCAGAAAATCGAGGAATTGGGCTGGGAAGTTCTGCCTCATCCGCCATATAGCCCGGACTTGGTCCCATCCGACTACCTCTTGTTTCGGTCGATGCGGCACTCTTTAGCAGAAAAAAAAATTCAAAAACCGCGAAGAAGTTGAAATTTGGGTGTCCAACTTCTTCGAGTCGCAGTCGAGAGTTCTTCGAAAAGGGCATCCATTCTCTGCGTGGAAGATGGCAAAGAGTCATTGATAATGATGGCGAATATCTTTTGGATTGAGGTTCTGTATTAGGATTTTTATAATAAATTTTGTTTATGGTTTCAACGGAAGTTTCATCTGCACCAACCTAATACGTTAATTACAGCTTTTTACAGCTAATTACGTTAATTCTATTACAATATAAAGAAAACTTAGTAAAATTCACTTACTTCAGCAAAATAATCCCCTTCTGATTTAAGGAGATAAAGATTTTCGTAAAAAAAGAGAGCTGGTAAATAATATCGAAAATATCGTTGATTCCAGACAATCGTATACACGAATATCATTGAAAAACCTATAAAATTTGAATTCTAGAGATAAAAATAAAAGCTTACCTATAAGAAATACAATAAAATAATATAAAGGAACGATTCTTTTCAATCGTCGATAATAAAATGAGAGAAAAACTCGATCCGGTCGATTGCTTGAAGAAATTTCCAACATTTGCATCATCAAGAAACCGGAGATTACGAAAAAACTAGAGAAAAAAAAGTTTCTAAAGTTCATTTTTTCTTACACATCAACTCCGATAAATCCCAATGTGAAGATTTTTGGCCAAAAATGATAACCAAGAACCGCAAGAATGGCTAAAGCGCGGAGAAGAGCTACGTCATCGCGAAATTCTTTCTTTACTGAAAAATTTTGAAGTTGAAATTGATTTCTTTTTTAGAATAATCAATGATTAAGATTTTTATTTGGATAAACTCGTTATTTGAGAGCTTTTAGAATTGAACTGTAATTATAAAAGTTTAAAAAAACCTGTTGTTGTTCCAAGACAGCTCTCCTTTTCGCTTAAACTCTGAACAATCGTCTCATTTATTTCGTTTTGCTCGCCAAGAAGTTGGTAGTTATTTGAAGATTTCATCTGAAAATCGTTTCTTTATTAATTTACAAACTAAATGAATGAAAATAAAATGAAATTGAAAAATTCGAAGGCTGGGAACAATATAGAATTGTTCTCTTTTCCTGCGGTCGATCGGCAATCGGTCGTTCTTTTCCTTCAGATCGGTTAAAAAGATTCCCGGTTTTTACTCTAATCTCCTTTCCAGATCTATGCGAGTCTTTGCAAAAAAAAAGCGAACTTTTTTGCGAGTCAGAAGCTGGTTTTAAATTTTGAACAAAAAATATAAAGCTAACCGTAAAAAAAAGGAAAAATTGTTTGCAAAATGATGCAAAATGATTTACATTTTGTTTTACATTTGATCTATTGGGTTGGTGAATGCCATTAAGTTTGTAAGTTTTTGAGAATGATTTGTTTAAATGCAATTAAATGTAATTAAATGCAATTAAATGCAATTTTCATTCAAAACTATTGATTCTACGCTGAGATATTAGCAATTTAAGTAAAAAGTAAAGCGTGAAGACTTATTTACACTCTTAGACTTACGTTCGAATACACTTCTCAGAACGAGTAATGCGACGAGCAATGTCTCTGTTAGAGTCCCCAAGCGTGTGAAGTGCATCGCTGCGGTTTTGTTCACCACATCCATTTATTGGGTTGGTGAATTGAAAACTACCGGAAAACGGACTTTGAACTAAAATTTATTCAACATAAAACCATCAATTCATTCGAAATAATTTCCATTATTATTGACGACTTTTACACGACGACGACGACGACATTTTACAGGCAATTTGCGTTTTGATTGAATTTGATTGAGCGATTGTTGAAATTAAAGAAGATTTTTCCTATGCTTTGAATCGCAATAAGCACTATATTATTGGCAATTTTGTTTGATAAATAGAATAACATCAACCCAATAATAATTAACAGTTTGACTAATCAGAGTACTGAGTAGTGATTTCTTTTGAGATTTTTGGTGTTTTTTAGAAAACTTTGACAGAAAATCTTGATTCTAAATTTATTAATTCTTGAAAATCTTTGTACAAAGCGCACACAATTCAACGGAAATTTTGATAAGAACTTTTGCAACTTTTGCAACTTTTGCTTCCATTTCCATATTTCTAATTATAAATTTACTCATAATAGGAGTAATAGGGGTAAGGTGTGCCATAAAATTGTTTGTTTTAGACCTTTATGTCTTATTATTATCCTTTATTTGTATCACATTATTGGTTTTTAATAAATGTATTTTTATAACAACCAATGCTAACTATTTTTTATTCTTTAGAACAATTTGGGTAAGAAAAAGAAAAAGAAAAACAAAGATAGAATTATTTTAATTGATGATTATTGCAACATCTTCTTTGTAATTGATTGATCTAAATCTTGAGTTCACTAGTTCTCTTTTTTCGTTTAATAAAATAAGCACATTTCAGAATGAATTGCAGATTAACAAACTTTTCTCCAACACCGCAGAATATTAGCACTATTTTTTTGGCTTTATAGCGATGCGCAAAATGCGACCAAGTTACCAAAATGCTTTTAATATTTCAAAAGATGACTCTTTGAGGCAAATCGCCGGATTGCAAGCATCAGGTGGCAGTTGACAATTGTTGCCATTGTTGGGTGAGTATGTTTTTTGAGAAGCCATAGCTTTAGGATTTAAAACCTTAAAACACCATTCATTCACCGATTTAAAAGAGTGTTCCTATTCATTAAATGATTTTCATTAGGTTTTTATAGAACTCTCCGAATCAAATCGAACAAATTTCGGATAGGATTGATTTTATAGTTTAATCTATTTAGTGGCTTCAAGAAAACGCAAAGCTCATTTGTACTGAATCTAGCAAACGGAATGTAGAGGATCATTTTCTTCACCTCAACCAAGTAAAGATCAGAGTTTGTTTGCAAGACGTCTTAGCTAAACAATAGCACATTAGCTCAACGATAGAAGCTAAACGATAGCACATTAACTTCTAGAATGATTATAGAAAACTTTCCAGAGACTCGATTTCAATCGCTAGGCCGCAGAACGGCAAGCCCGTGGAATAATAACGGTTGTCGGAGTTAGAATTAGTGATATAATTGTTTTTTTCCCCTCTTTCATTTGTTTTTATTTTCAATCATCCCCTTCTTTTGTGATTGTAAATCTTTATTTCCAATGATTTTTGTTATATCAATGATCAGGCTTACACAGACATCTGTCATGGTCTGTAATACAAATCCCTCGTTTTTTGCAGCTTTCTGGACATTCACACTAAATTCTCCTTGTTTAAGCTGAAATCTTAAAGTTAACGGGGAAAAAACAACTAACCATCTGTTCGCAATCACACACGTAATCGAAAAATTTTGACACTCGACTTGAGATGACACAAATTGAGTTGCCGGGTCCAAGACAATTGTGGCAAGCCTCCTCGCACTCCGGATGCTAAATTTTTGTTGGAATAGCTAAAGCTTGAAGCTTAATTTGATTATAAAACTAAACCAAAACGAGTGAAACTTTAAAATTTTGATATTTTGAAGAAAACTCACCCTAAACGTGCAACTGTAATAGGGGTTAACAAATGTTTCCTCTAAAACGAAATTGTAAGTGCACAAGTTGAAGATGTTCATTTCATCCGTACTTTCCTGGCATTCCCTCCAGCACTAAAGATTTTAGAATTGAAAGTAAAAGCAATTATAAACCTCTCTTGCTCTATCACTAACAAAAATCGGCGGTGTTGTGGTGGTGGTGAGATTCGTTGGACAGGCGGTAATGTTTAAGATGTCGTTGATCTAAATACTTTACAATTAAACATATAACATCTTCGGCTTAATATTACTCATTTTCTGTAACTCTAAGTTAATTAGGTGCTAGACTACAATAGAATAATTGTAGTATCCAATGTTTTAAGGGAATTTGAAACTTTAAACTTGAATACCGTATTTTCTCTAATAGTAGTGTACCCCGGCGAGCCGAGTTGATGACTATTTTACAGTTTCTAAGCTTTTGCAGAAGCTCAACACTCAAATCCCCCACAAGATCTGATCGTCAGCTACATTTTCCGACCCCACATCGATAGGTTTTGATAAGCGGTTCTCGAGATTTCAAGCAATTTAGGCAACGCTCAGAGTGCACTACGATTAGAGAGAATACGGGGTTCGGCGATCACTGGATCCAGCTAAAACTATTGTAATCTAGAAATTAAATGCCTGAGAAAAAGGTATCACCTCACAGATGTTACTGTAATCTACCAAAGCTGCTTGCTCTATTCTCTTTCTCTCTAATAGTAGTGCCGAGCCAAGTTGATGGCTATTTGACGGTTTCCAAGCTTTTGCAGAAGCTCAACACTCAAATCCCCCACAAGATCTGATCGTCAGCTACATCTACGTCATCTACGTCAGCTACGTCAGCTACAGCTACATTTTCCGACCCCCACATCGATAGGTTCTGATAAGCGGTTCTCGAGATTTCGAGGAATTTAGGCGACGCTCAGGATGCGCTACTATTAAAGAAAATACGGTAACTTCTATGTATAACTTGTATTTTAAAGTAAAAAGTAACAATTAATTCTAAAAATTACCAATACGATGAACAAAAGCAAGCTTGATTTGCCCATTTTGTTCACTAAAATATTAAGTATTTTAAAATTTTTCTATTAAAAAATGTAAGTATTTAAACTAAAATTTGTATTTATAATAAAAAAAAGAAAAAAATGTTGTTGTAGATGATTGGATCCGTTTCAGCTTTGTTTACAGTCAAAATATTTCAAAGGAATTTTGTTTGTTATAAAGTTTATAGGAATTTCAACAATATTCAGTCAATAATGAATCAGTTACACAAACAATTTGAATAACAAATTTCATTGAATTTGCCCGCTTTCTTAAAAGAAAATATTAAGAAATGAAAAGCCTTATGAAAAAAAACAATACAACACACTTTCACATTGATACAGAAAGGCATGGGTAATTAAATCGGCTCGAAAATCGTTTCTACAATGAAATTGCTATGCCAGTATTATGGCAAAAGCTAAAAATCCTTTTGTTTAGCTATTTTACGGGAGAGTTCCTTTGTCGTTTATTGTCTAGAGGACCTCAAGTTGATAATTGTCCATAAAATTCACAAAATTTTCCCATTCTGACTACTAACTTATCCATTCAACAATTCAGCCAAGCCACTAACTGTTTTTCATCATAAGTCTCAAAATTGCCCATTTACCCAACGAATTTAAAGCTCTGACGATGAGCTAACCAGCTCTGTCCATGAGCTAACCAGCTCTGTTCATGAGCTAACCAGCTCTGTTCATGAGCTAACCAGCTCTGTTCATGAGCTAACCAGCTCTGTTCATGAGCTAACCAGCTCTGTCATGGCAACCAGCTCTGTTCATGAGCTAACCAGCTCTGTTCATGAGCTAACCAGCTCTGTCATGAGCTAACCAGCTCTGTTCATGAGCTAACCAGCTCTGACAATGAGCTAACCAGCTCTGACAATGAGCTAACCAGCTCTGACAATGAGCTAACCAGCTCTGACAATGAGCTAACCAGCTCTGACAATGAGCTAACCAGCCTGACAATGGCTAACCAGCCTGACAATGAGCTAAACCAGCTCTGCAATGAGCTAACCAGCTCTGACAATGAGCTAAACCAGCTCTGCCAATGAGCTAACCAGCTCTGACAATGAGCTAAACCAGCTCTGACAATGAGCTAAACCAGCTCTGACAATGAGCTAAACCAGCTCTGACGATGAGCTACCATTAAACTCTCGCGATTTTTGAAGTAAATACAACTCTCCTTTTTGTATTCTCAAGTTTGACCCTTTTTTTCAAAAGAAAATCTGGAATTTTCACTTTTTTAACGGAAATAATAATTTTTTTTGTTGAAATCCACTATTCGGGCAGCACCATCTTTGAATATTCAATTTAAAAAAATTAAAATCCCGATCACCCACGATGCTGATAAAATAGCAACATTTGCAATTGAGTTAAAGCTATCAAAGTAGCAAAAAGTAACCACAAATCTTTTCCGAAAAGTGCATTATCTTTATTTACTTCTATTTAACCATTCTTTTGATGATTTCAAAGATTTTCTAGTCGTAATTTTGGCTGTCAACAAGGCCGATTTCGGATATATTTCCAGTTTTAATGTTTTCAAATAAAGGTTCAATACAGCCAATTTTGACTGAACATTTATAGTCGAATTCTTTCTTTGGTAATGAAAAGAAGTAGATGAATAAAGGGTTGTAAGCTTTTACAAATCTTTCTTTGATAATGAAAAGAAGTAGATGAATAAAAAGTTGTAAGCTTTTACATCTTTCTTTGGTAATGAAAGAAGTAGATGAATAAAGGGTTGTAAGCTTTTACAAATCTTTCTTTGATAATGAAAAGAAGTAGATGAATAAAAAGTTGTAAGCTTTTACAAATCATAAATCTAATTTTTGAGAACAACAAAAAGAGAGTTAAAGTCACAAGACGAGCTGGACATTGGTAGGTGATTTACAAGCCTTTTACAAGCCAAAGAGACTAGTTAAAGTAGGATAAGTTTGTCTAAAAGACAAAATGAACATTTAAAAATGAATACTTAAAGATTGGATTGATGAAAATGAAAGGATTTCTAGTAGAATCATTTTCTCTCAACAACCACTTCTTTTCAAAAGAGCTGGATTATCACGAGCACATAGTCAAGCTTGAAAATGTTGAAAACTTGCCATTCTTGTTGCCATTCTTGATGCGATCTTATCATTTAACCTTTACCCTTTTTCCACATTTTTCTACATGATGATCTTGTTGTGAAATGGGATCCCCTACTAGGTGTGAGATGAGTCTCATTGCCCAACCAACTGTCCCTTTTTCCCCTCTTTCATATCTCAGGATTCAATCGTGAGTGAAAAGAGAGAAAAGATGGGAAAACACCTGGCCATTTCATTCCAAATCACTTCCATTTTCTCTCGACTTTCCTCTCCCTTTTCCATCTTTTCATCTCTTTAATTACTTCAGGTAAAGACCCAATATTGCTTTCAATTTATTACCCCCACCACTATCACTCACTATCAATTCATTGATCTATTGAAAAGTTTGAATGGATCAGAAGCTTCTTTGAGTTAGCTAGCTTCAGAAGGCTTAGCTTTAGAAGGTTACAAAAATGCATTAACTTTTCTAGAAGCAGCTCCAATATAGCCATTCAGAACTTGAAATTTTATAACTTTTTGTGAAATTCTACGAAAATCCTTTGCTTCTTTGTTTCCAAATAATCATTTTCTCTTGTTTTTGTTTCATTTGAAGGTTGACTTCTTTGACAAAACTTTTCTGTCTTTCCAATCGTGATTCTTGAAAAAGTAGATGAAAAAGATTTCCTTTTACCTCTTCTTTTATTTCTTCAACCTTTCATTCAATGAAATTCCACTTTACAAATTAGCCACGCTCACACAGACAACCCATTCACAAAGATTTCTTCAATTTACTTTACTTTGTAGGAGAAAAAAATCGAGTATTTATATTAAAATGCTAAAAAATGAGCAAAAAAAAAGTATTGTAGATGTTTTTCTGCACAATATGTTCTTACAAAATTCTAAAATTAGCTTGATCTTTTAGTTAGATTCAAGTTTTATATTCTTTCACTAGATCAATTAGTTTATGAAATGAAAATTGTGAAAGAGATTACTAATCTTAAGCATTACATTCAAAGTTGAACTTTAAAAGATTCGATTCGAGCATTGTTCTATATTCAAAAGGCAGCAGATTGATGGGATGAAATGGGTGAAAGAGAAAGAGAGAGAGAGAGTGAGTCTCCTTTCCATAGACTCCTTTGCATAGTCTCCTTTCTCTGTCAATCCATCCAGGTGTCCCCATGCATACTTGATTCCCATCCGCCGATAGCTTCAAGCAAAAGGTTAGATGTGTTGATAAATGGATTGTTTCTTAATGGATAAATCAAGATTTTGGAGATTTATAGGAGAATTTATACATTTTCAAGTGAGTGGTTCGTTTTTTCGTTTACAAAATTATCATTTACCTTTCCCGACAAGTTGCGTTTGATCTCTGATTTCTTTCTCTTTTTTTTTCATTTTATTTTATCTGTCCTTTGCATATTCTTGATTTTTTTTTTTTTTTGTTTGTGTGTTCCTTCTTGTTGGGGGGGGTGTGCGGTTCCACCGTGTCTGATTTTAAAAGAGCTTACTTCGTTGCATTTTAAGTGACTTTGTCATCTTTTATCTGGTCATTTTTGCACTTTTTTTTCTTTCTAAATAAAGTATTTATATATTTACCTTTCAAAAGTTAAATAATTTGAAAAACTATCGTAATCTTTCCTTTAGATTTTGTCTGATTTAATTAATTTTTGATTTCATTCGATAACGGATTAAATACAGTGAATTGAATGAGATTAAAATTAAGTAGAAAGAATAAAATCTGTAGGAAAGATTACTGTAGCTTTTAAAAGTATGTATGTTTAAGAAAAGTAGCTACTGTATAATCATTTTCATCATTCATTTCAAATCTACGCACTCCATTGGATAAATCGATGATTGTGAAGAGAATGGGGCGAAAAGAAGCCCCCTTTCTATCGACTCGATGTCCGAAATGGCAATTGGAAATCGAAAAAAAGAAAAAGAAGTGGGCAAGACGATCGATCGAGCCACTGATTCACATCAACACATTCATTGGGGGAAAGGGGAAGGAGAGAGGGGTGATTGGCATGGACAAGGATCAGCCCCACGATTCAAACTCCCTCTCCACGAATAACTTAATTGAAAATAAGTATCTTCTTCATGTTTATGATTTGTTATTGATTATTGATTATTGATTATTGCTTTTCGTTTCGAAACCATCCATTACCAGCTTTTTTCTAAACATCTATCGATCTAGTGTTAGATCAAACTCTTCCATGTCATTCTCTTTCATAACAATCAAACCTTTCAATCAAGCCTTTCAGTTCCTCAATTCCTGTCAAATCTTTCTAAAGGAAAAGCTTACGAAAAGGATTACTGGATACAGAAAATTGAATATTCTTTTTAATCTATCATAGATTAAGTTCAAAAGTGTTAAGAGATAATTGTTTTGGTTTTTACACCAGAACTTCGAGAGTTTGTCTTTATTATCAGAGATGGTTACAAGAAAACGAGATTAATACTAGCTTTTCAGAGAGATCTAAATCTTTGAATCTGTTTTCATCTAAATCTTTTAATTCAGCTGCTTAAAGCACTCCTTTGTCTAACGCAGCTAGCCAATGAACACCGGCAAAACATCGAAAACTGAGGACTGACTTCAAATTAGAGCCTTTCTCAAAGCTTCAAAGAGCCAAAACGACCAGAACAAGTTGATTCTCGGTTGGATCGGCTCTGTTTCTCGTTTCCCCTTTCCCATCCATTCCCCTTCACAAACCGGTCGATCATTATCCCCTTCGCAGCTATTTCGCACCTTTCTCCCATCCATTTCTGGGCTCTTATTGTTTCAAGTTATGTTTATTTCAACCCCTGTTTTGTTTACGTTTAAACTTTGATTAATTTAGTTAAAGATAGCTATACTTTTTACCGGTTTGCTAAAATAAAATAATCTTTTACAGTTAATCATTTGTATATTGATATCATCTAAAATCTGATTGATTAGAAATCTCAAGTACACTCCTCCGAACTCCTCCACCTCAACAATACATCATCTTTTTGAATGCCTTCTCTTTCTTCTTTCCTCCTCTAATGAGATACCACAAAGAAGCTCGATTTCTTTAGCTGTGGTAAGAACTGAAAGACAATCCTTGAAATAATCGTGAGATTTGAGAGTTTTATTCTTGGTGAAGGGATTGGTTCAATGGATTCAGTCAAATCATCAATACTTTAATTCATTTTATCCTATTGAAGTGATTTTAAATGAAAACTTACTTATTTCTTCCAACTTGTATCTACTAAAACGTTAAATTAAAGCTATTAATCTTCATTTCAACTGTATCTCATTTAATTCTCATTCTGTAATCATGTTTTTATGATTCCAAAATCTCAAAGGTTCTCTTTCGTTTCCCTTCATGATTGTCAACTCAACGCAAAAACTGGAGAAGCCAATTGCGGATAGAAAAAGGAGAGCTGGATTTAGAAAAGGGGAAAAGGGGAAAAAGGGGACAAAGGAGAACAGTTCGATCCATCCCTGTCCTCGTCCATTCCCTGTCCACCACTTTTTTTTGACCCCAACTCCGTTCAAATCTCTAATAGCAGCTTCTTCTTTTTCAGCTCAGTTTTCACGTTTTCTTCATTTAGCTGAAAAGCTTTTCTGGTGGAAATCGCCGTGAAATCTAAATTAGCAAACGCTTATCCTTTTTGTTCTTTTTGAAATCTTTTCTAGTTTTTACACTTTTCAGTAACTGGAGAGCTTCGTTAATTTTGTGGGTACGATATAGAATTCTTATGAGAAATGAGACCGATTTGAATCTTACGATTGATTGTACTCTAATCCGTCCTAATATCATTACAGTATGCTAAAGACTCACCAAAGTATCCAAAGCGTAGTATGAATTTCACTTTTTTCAACTCTACTATAACGTTTCAAACTTGTGGAACAGAAATTCCCTCGATTTCTCGTATCATCGTACCATTGGAACGGTGATTTCCCCCCTTTTATAGCTTGATTGAGTGATCAAATCTCAAATCTCAAATCTCAAATTCCTTTCCCCTTCGATTTCCCTCTTTTTCTAGGATTTCAATGACCTTTCCCCCTTCCCTTCTTCTCATTTTCATCCTTTTCTTAAGAAAATTTATTATTATGTGCCTGCTTTAGTTGTTTTATTGATTGATTTCATAAATTTCCCAAAAAAAGACAATTTTCTCATCATTGAGATTCAGTAACGAGGTTATTAAAGGGAATCGATAGACCGATAGACCTCGATATACCGATAGACCTCGATAGACCGATAGACCTCGATAGACCAGGAAAATCTAATTCACCTTTTTCCAGTCAATCTTCTTTCTATTTTTCCTTAAACCATTAAATCCAATTTTGCAAGAAGTCAATCAAATTCGAGAAATCAGTGCTAAAGCCATGTGATTGAAGGGTTTTTCCCCATTCTTACCAATCCTTACCAATCCTTTCAATTCTTTCCAATTAACAAATTGTCTTTTCCATCTCTTTTCCTTCATTTTGAAAGACACAAAATGGGCCCCTTTTCTTCTTGTTTTCCATCAAACCCCCAAAAGAGTAATTGACGGTGAAATGGGATTTGAAAGGAATGCAGAGGAGCAAAGGGTCAAAAGGCATCCCAGATATCACCATATTTCTAAATTTTTACTATTTTTTGATAATAAGACCGAGATTTATGATCAGTTGGGAAGAGTTTGGGTGGAAAAATGATGTGAATAGGTGAATTTTGCAAAAGGATAGTAGAACATTTTCCACCCAAGCTTCCCAAATGATCATAAAACTCAAGAACAATACCAATTCCCCTATTCGAGAGTGATAATTACCTTTTTTTTTATGACTTTATGCGACAAATTACTCAAGAATCAGCGCAAAAACGTCAAAATTTTCTCGTTTCTGATGTTTCATTGGTTTTTTTTCTGAAGGGATGGGGTGAATTGGGAAAACAAAAAGGAAACAAAAGGATATGTTAGATTATAACTGGAATTCAAATAGGAAAACAATGCAGACTAAACAAATTTGATTGCAACTAAACAACTGCAGGCTAAACAATCTTTGATTGCAACTAAACAACTGCAGGCTAAACAACTCACTTTGAACTATTGTAATCACTTTTCTTTATCATAATGAGAGATTTCTTTATCTAGTACTGAACTTTCTGCAAAATCAAATCCATCATTTAACAATGATAGCTTAAGCTATTGAAATTTCTAGAAAATTCTTCTCATTACTCATTACAAAAATAATAATAAACCATTTGAACATTTGGATAAGATTCACATCCATTCAGACAAATTGTTTATATATTGTCCAATTGATAGAGGCGATTGTTCACAATCAAAAAAAGAGAGAAATGGTGAGATAGTTTACCCCTTCTTTCCCTTCTTTCCTTTCTTTCCCCCCTTTCCCCCCTTTCCCCCCTTTTCCCCTTGCAACCACATTAAATGGATCATCAAAATTTGGGGGTGAAAAGGCGGGGTTCAAATGATACAACAACTCTCAATCCCTTCATTTCCGCCGAAAAGCCTTTCCCAATTGAACGAACATCTCATCGATGAGAAAAAAAGCGCTTTTTCTATCTCTCATCATTTTTGTCTAGTTAGCGCTTTTTTTCACACTTTTGCGCTTTTGAAAGTGGACATTCGACATTAAATTGGTTTCACTAAATATTAGCCCTCTACCAGCATCAACATGATCATTATCGAATTGAACTCTGAACAAAACACGTAGTTCAACGCTTTCACAGCTCAAAATGTACTGGTTAAACCATTTTTAAAAATCGACTAGATCGTTCTTTAATTCAACTTTAAAAATGCGCAAATTGAACACATTTCGAACTTTCTGTACTCTTTAAAATCTCTTCAAAAAACCAAGGCTTGAACTTGAACACCTTGCTTCAACTCTCGGATTCCATCAGATCCTTGTTCCTTATACTCCTTGAACTTGAACACCTTGCTTCAACTCTCGGATTCCATCAGATCCTTGTTCCTTACTCTCTTATCATTTGATTCTATCAATTTCGAAATCATCAGACTCTCATTTTTCCGTTTTTTCTTCAGCTCACAGATCGAAAAGTTCCTTGTCTCTTGTACTTTCCACAGTCAAAAAAAAAGTTGACATTGATTACCAATTATCCCAAGTAAATCAATGAATCAAACCTGTTCCCCACAAGTTTCAAGGTTGACAAGACTGTTCAGGAATCAAATCAAAAAAAATTGCATTGATTTTGTTAAAATTGAAATAATATGAACAGTTTCAGCCAGTCATTTTGAGTTTTAACCAATAGCAGTACTGCCATTAGCAGTCTTTACCGAAAAATCTATCGATCGGCAAATCTTATAACCTATCTTAGTCTATTTTTCAAGAATTTTAAAGATAACTTTCTTCTGAATTTAATAACATTTCTCCTGATCTCTTTCTTTTGAATGAACTAAGATCGGATTCTTTGTTCTAGCCTTTCTCTCTCTTTCCATTTCTCTTTCCCATTTCTCCCCAGGGTATCTTTAGCGACGACTCAACGCTTCCTCTCTTTCCGATCATCATCAGAAAACTCTTCTTTTGAAAGAAAGAAGAAGAAATATCAATATCATTAAAATATTCAATCATTTAGATCTCTGCTTTAAGCATTTACTTCTCAATTTCTTCTAATCAAGATGAGTGCCTTGATTCGAATTTCCGTTTTGGATTTGTTTTTCCTAAAGCCATGTGCTTCTTTAGTCAATTTTATGATTGCTAAATAGCTCTAAGTATTGCAATTGATTGATAATCGTAGTTAAATATTCCAGAAGATCATCAACTAAAAAGTTTTTTTGATAAAAGTCAAAAGTTTACTATTGAAAGATTCAGATCATGTAAACAAGTTTATTTACAACTTTAAGCGCTATTCAGTAAACGGTTTACTTGCTTGCTTGCTTGCTTGAATCTCTTACGGTTTTGATTCGTTTTTAAACTATAGTTGAGAACAATACCTCCAATACCCGCTAAGCCCTTCGTTTTTCCTTTTTCTTCATTCATTTCTTCGCTTTCTTCACCACCAGTTACTTGCCATTTTCCCTTGCGACGGAGATGAGGTCCTCTAATTAGAGAAGAGCCAATGGGGAGACTGGGATCGACTCTCCCCTTCACCCATTTCACTCTTTATGGTCTATTTCCTATCTTCTTTATGCCCTTATTCTCTTTGTCTTTTATAATAATAGTTATTGTTATAAAGCCTTTTCTTTTCTCTTCGTTTCAAGTCTACTTTTGAACTAGGATTTTGTCTTCATTGTCAGCTTTGTTGTATCTTTTGCCGTTTTGCTTTGTTATAAGCAACAAAGACAATAATCATGAACTAACTTTAAGATCCAAATTCCATTTTGAACTCTTATTCTTGGCGTCTTCAAACCGCCACTCTTTGTCCCCGTTCTTCCCAGATTCCTCTTTTTCTTCTTTTTTAACTACAAATCAACCTCGATTCTTTCCTAATTACCGTAATTGGATTGGAGTATTTTGAGTGGAGAATATAGCATTGAATATCTTAAAGAAATCCTCGGGGAGTCATAAGGAAAAACTGAGAGAAAGGCTTTTGTTCGGTGAAAGAAAGAAAAGGATGGGTTGGTCTTGCATCTAAACGGGATTTTCAGTTGGTGGGAAGGGCATAATTTAGGTTTAAAAGTTAAATAATTCTAGATCTACCGTATCTTACCGTAGCCTTACAGTCAGACTGAGGAGATCAAAAGATACGATAGCTTTGCAAGTACAAGAAGTACGGTAACCAATGTTGTTCCGAAGATCTCTATATGTTGAGTTTAGTTCTGTCCACAAGACAAAAGGCACACTGAATCTGAAAGAAGAACTAAAGTTAATATATTTCACCTGAAAGTAGCTATGTTGATTAGGTGGAAACAAGGGGGAATGTAAAGGCACACGCATGACTAGAGATAACTTCTGAAAAGGCTGAAGAGCCGAAGAGCTCTCTTTTCATCAAGAGAACCCTAGGAAACAATATACTGGAAAGCATGGGTCCTTTGCCATACCCATCTTCCCCTTTTTTCTTCTTTTAAAGCCTTCTGTTGGTCTCCTCCTTTCCCCTACCCAACACATTTAACACTTGAATGAAGATGCAAATTGCTTTTTGCGCGTGCCTTCATCCAGAACATAGGCAACTCTGCGCTTTCCTAAGCTCTAAAAAATCCTTATCCCAAAAAGTTCATCCATTTTTCAGCTTATAGAAAGTCTGTCTGCATGAAAAAAGGCTTTAGATTGATTTAGAAATTGGACTTGATTCATCAATACTATCAATAATTTGATTTGGATTTGATTCATCAATACTATCAACTCTTGATTTGGATTTGATCCATCAATACTATCAATACTTTGATTTGGATTTGATTCATCAATACTATCAATACTTGATTTGGACTTGATCCATCAATACTATTAATACTTTGATTTGATTAAAGCTAACTTTCAAACCCAATAAATTCAATCATTTCAACGTTATTGACTGAATATTGTTCAAATTCTCGTAAACTTTTTAAAAACGAGAATTCTTTCAGATATTTTGACTGTAAACGAGGCCGAAATGCGTTCAATCATCACCGCGTCATCGCCCTTTTTCCCTTATTTCTTTTGCGAAACCGTTACTTGTACAGAAAACTTTCTTTCTTTTATAATATATAAAATTTTGAAAGTTTTAAAAGCTTTAAAGCATATCTAAAGCATATCTTTAATAATAAAACTTACAACATTCAAATCCAACTTTTTGACTTGATAATGAACTAGTTTTATTCTTGATTTTCTTTTCTTCGTTGCTTAACTTATTGGTTTGATATTTATTATCAATTTGTCAATTTCAGGTACATTCCCCTGTACCTCAGAATCAATTCCTTAATCCTGAAGCGTTCACATCCATTAGACTCCCAAGAGGGAGGACTCCTCCCTCCACATTTATCACATCATCAACAAGGATTCGATGAAACCGATTACATCTTCATGCAAAGCAAGGTAAAGTCTCATAAACAACTCTTTAGAACAACATTAGAGCCTTTAAAATTGTAAAATTTGATAAAGCAAATTCAAAATCAGATTAGCAACATGGTAATGGTAAGAAAAACTCTAAAAACACTGAATTTTAGTTATAAGAAAACCCGTTCTCCTTCCTTTCAGCTACCTTTTTCCTTTACTGTTCATCTTTTTCTTTAAAATCTCTTTCGAGCACCGAAAATCGTGTATTAAACGTCAAGAGCAGAAAAAGATTGATAAGTGATCCTTTTGTGGATAAGCGAGTTTTGTTTTTTTTCTTTAAACTGGAAGAAAAAAGAAAAACAAAATGAAATGAAGTAATTTCAGCCAGTTCTCAATCTCGTTTCAGCTCTTTTCAGCAAAAAGTCTTTGATTGATGATGAAATCTGTCGATGAAATTGTTTGGAGATCTTTAGAGAGGAAAGATTAGAGGAAGAAACTTGTTTTTTGACAGAGTTTTTGCTAAAAACATCGTTAGTATTAATGACCAATAAAGCAAAAAGAAAAGCACCTTTTCATTACAGGTTTTGTTTAGTTGATTTTAGTTTTCTAAATGATAGATAACTTAGATAACTACCGTAAATACTGTAATAGTACCCCACCCCCCTCGTACAGTCGCGTAGTCGCAAAAGTTTTCTATTATTTCATATTTTGCAAAGCACCCGTACTTTCAAAAAATGCGTTTTTGGTATCAAAAAATAGCCCTGAATTTCAGCTATTTTTTGGTACCTAAGCCAACGCTGTAGCATAAACCAGTGTCGAGAAAAACTCGTTCAAAGCTAGACTACCCAACACTCCGCACCGTCATTATGGGGGTGGGGTACTATTACAGGATTTACGGTAGGCTAGTTAAGAACATTTTGAAAAGCTCTAGAGACTCTAGAAAGACTTTGTTCGATCAAAACAATTTTTAAACCCAGAAAACACTTGAATAAAGAAAGCTACCGTAAATACTGTAATAGTACCCCACCCCCCTCGTACAGTCGCGTCGTCGCTAGTCGCAAAAGTTTTTTAGTATTTTTCAAAGCGCCCGTACTTTAAAAAAAATGTGTCTTTGGTATGAAAAAATAGCCCTGAATTTCAGCTATTTTTTGATACCTAAGCGCGCATTGTAGCATAAACCAGTGTCGAGAAAAACTCGTTCAAAGCTAGACTACGCAACACCCCGCACCGTCATTATGGGGGTGGGGTACTATTACAGTATTTACGGTACCTTAATCTATTTCTCAAATTTTATAAGAAATCAAACTTTGAACTAAATGCGATAAATAGAAGGGCTAAAAGCTAAAAGAAAAGCTACAGTAGCTTCTCAAATTTCCCATCTTTTGATATGCAGAGGAGCTAACTTGGCAGCAATTCCAAGCTAATATTTACATTAGTTACAGATCTTCGTATTATATTACAGATATTACAGATCTCGATCTTCGTTACAGCTAAATTTCGTATAGTAGACTCAGTAGTGAACATTTGATCAAATAACAATGTTACTTTCGGTTGAACTCCACCAAAATGCCTCGATTTGTCCTTTAGAATACAGAACGGGGGAAATGTCAAAGAGTCGATTGTGATTCAGAGCAAAAATAGCGGTGGGGCTTCTGTATAATCGATGAGAAGAGAAAGATTGGAGAAAAGGTCGTACTGGTGGAACGGGAGGAGATGATGGGACAAGAGAACAAACGAGGAATTGAAAACAGTTCCCTTCTTCTTCTTTTTCATGGTTGTCATGTGAATTAACAATGGAGAAAAGAAAAATGAAATGAAAGAAACTATTTTTGGTGATTAGCTGGAGTGATTCTTTTATTTCAGATTGGAATTGGTTAAGAAGTTGGGATTTAATCAAAACAAAAAGATCTAGACTTGCTGTTTAACATCCCACATTCCAGATATTAGAGTAGTTCACGAAATTTCTCATTGCTAACTTTTGACTCAGGTTTCAAGCTGATTCTTCAATGAGAAAATCTAATGTTAAATAATTGCCTTAACCTATTGCTACCAAATAGCGAAATCCTTTTTTCCTAATAAAAATCAATGAAATCAATCCTTTCTTTACCCACTTATAATCGCCTAGACTTGCTGTTTAACATCCTACATTCCAGATATTAGAGTAGTTCACGAAATTTCTCATTGCTAACTTTTGACTCAGGTTTCAAGCTGATTCTTCAACGAGAAAATCTAATAGTAAATAATCATTCCTTTAGCCTATTGCTACCAAATAATGAAATCCTTTTTTTTCTAATGAAAATCAATGAAATCAATCCTTTCTTTATCCACTTATAATCGCCTAGACTTGCTGTTTAAAATCCCAAATCCCAGATATTAGAATAGTTCACGAGATTTCTCATTGCTAACTTTTGACTCAGGTTTCAAGCTGATTCTTCAACGAGAAAATCTAATGTTAAATAATCATTCCCTTAACCTATTGCTACCAAATAGTGAAATCCTTTTTTTCTAATAAAAATCAATGAAATCAATCCTTTCTTTACCCACTTACAATCGCCATTAATCACTAAAATTTATTAATGAATTGAAAAGTTTGCTCTTAAAAGACAGAAGATAATTGCGAATTTTTAATTCTTATTCGAAAAGATACATGTTACACGAGTCACAAATTACTTCTTAATCTTCTTTGTCTTGTTAATCTGTTTGATAATTCAGGAAATTCATTTGCTAGTATCATTTTATCGGTCAACTTTAATATTTTCTTTCACTCATTTGTCTTCTTTTTTGATATCCGATCCATGTCATGTTCTCTCTCTCTGTAAAAGAGCCGTAATAAGGTCATTCTGGGTAGAGAAAGGAAGAGATCGGTGTCTCTATCGTCCTGTTATTGCTTTCGCTACCCCCTTACTCATTCCCATCTTATGACCAATCTAAAGTAATATTAATTCATTACTACTCGATAGTTTAGCTATACTTCTACCAAATCAATCTTGTTCTTTCGTTTTTCTTTTGTATTTTGTAGACAGATTATGAGTTTCAAAGAATTAAGCTAAATACAAGTAAATTGAACTTATCTAGACTATTATTAACAAAAGAATTCTTCAATATTTTTTGATCAGTACTAGTTCTTGATCAGTACTAGTTCTTGATCAGTACAAGTTCTTGATCAATACAAGTTCCTAATCAGTACTAGTTCTTAATCAGTACTAGTTCTTAATCAGTACTAGTTCTTAATCAGTACAAGTTCTTGATCAGTACAAGTTCTTGAACAGTACTAGTTCTTGATCAGTACTAGTTCTTGATCAGTACAAGCTCTTGATCAGTACAAGTTCTTAATCAGTTCTTACTTGTCAGTGCTTGATATTGTAAGATTCTAAAACAGGCGCATCCCAGAAAAGATGTGTTTCTATTTTTGAGCACAAAGCACAATCAAAACCAAATCGAAAAAATCGATGAAATCCTTGTTGCCTTCGATTTATTACCCCCGAGGGGGGAAAATTTGACAAAAAGTGGCATCGGCCGAGTTCGGTGTTGTGCGCGGTGGTTTTTTTTTGTCTTTTCTCCCCTCTTTCCCCCTTTTCGCCCATTTTTCAGCGATGATTTCGATTTTCTCTCGTTTATTCTCGATTCTTCTCATCTTTTTCTCTTCCCATCTCAAATCCGATCACTCAAACGGCTATCATAATGTTATTTTAGCAGATAATTACGCCATTTTTACATTAACTAAACTGATCAACTTTGAAATTTGAAAGATTTTTGGTCGTAGAACCATTACTTTTACAAAACTTCAGTTATTCAAATGTTTGGCCCATTTTAAACAGCTTTTCTTGATGTTCTTTTAACTAAAAAAGACTATAACTTGTAACTTTTCTTGTAATTTAATCAGTTAGTCAAATCTTTCTAAATTGAATGTCAAAATAACATCATCTTATCAGTTTCTTCATAAAAACTTCTTAATTTTCTATATTTTTTAGAAAATGTTGACTGCAGCGGCTCTGGGGGCTGGGTCATCATCCGCCTCAGCCGGTGCAACAACCCCGTCTTCTCTTTGCTCGACACCGGTTCGTTTTCTTCTTTCTTCATTTACTATATATTGCTTAGTTATTGAAATTGATTTTGATTCAATCGATTCCAGGTGTCACTTCTTCAACAAAGCGCTCTTCTCCCCTATGCATCAGCAGCCGCATCAACATTGGCTGCCTCAGCTCCCCTTTATCAACAAGTTAGTAAAATCATAAATTACAAAATAAAGCAAAAAGAATTAGGCTTTCAAGTCCAGCTCTAAGAGTTTTACGATCTACCATTTTACAGATGGCCTTACAACAACAGCTGAGTGCTGGTGGAGGTCTGACGAGTGGGATGGGAATGATCGGTGGTGGGCAGGGTAATGCCTCGTATGAGGGGATTCCAATCTTCATTGTCCCTCAAACAGGCGCCACACCTGGTGCCACCACCGTCTCCTTGGCGGCTCTTCAAAAAGCAGCGGTACACTGTCAGAATCTCGATCTCAAAGATATCCTATTGCAGGAGATCAAAGCAACCCTCTTGGCGAACGCGTTGACTGAGCCGAAAGTTGACACGAGTAGTGAGTGATTTTAAATCAAAGAGATAAGCTGCAACCTGTCTCTTTCTATTGTTTAAGTGCTAATGCTTTGTAGAGTAGAATTTTTTAGTACTTTACTGTACAAAATGCTTTACTTCTAGATTATCCTGGTTTTGAGTCGTTGTTCAAGCATTTCACTACCACAAATTCTGATAGAAATACTGAGCGAATTGTACTTTTTTCTATTTATAACATAAACTGGCTTTATAGCTCTATTAAAGCTGGCTTAAAGCTGGCTTAATAGCTGGCTTGATAGCTGGCTTTATCGCTGGCTTAAACTGGCTTTATAGCTGGCTTAAAGCTAGCTTGTTAGCTGGCTTAAAACTGGCTTGATAGCTGGCTTTATCGCTGGCTTAAAGCTGGCTTTATAGCTATCAAGCTAGCTTTAAAATTTAACAGCAATCCTAAATATGTTTTGTTTTTTTAATAGAAAACATTACATTCTTAAAGAATAATGTTTAAAAGTTGTAAATCAGATTTAAGAAGACGTGAAAAAGAGGGCCCAATTTAACACTGACTTTCCTTGAGCCGGAGTACCCCTTTAAATATTCCTCAAGCAATTTCAGAAATTCTTCAATTTTTGTCTCCTCAAAGAAAATGAGAGGACCTACTCTCGTTAAGTTTTTGGACGAGAGAATTTCTGGAAGATTTTAATCATGCACTATAGATATCACAAAGATTAGCATGCCACAAACGCGTTTTCCCATCCATTAAGACGCAGTCGTGGTCTTTATCCTTCCTCGGCTGGCCTAAATTTAACAAAATCATAACAATATAAGCAAATCGAGTTTCAAATTTACCATCAGACATCAAATACTTCAAAAAGCCTTCTGTGTATTTCATATATTTATATAATGTAGAGCAACTGTAGTGTGACAGCCATCATTAAGCGTTGTTCCACCGAAATTTTGTATAAACAAATCAAAATTTGTTTAACCTATCGAATTTTGTGTCAAATCTTCGTTTATTGGAGCTAAATCCTTGAAAGAATTTCGATTCTGAAACAATTCAATGTTTAACCGATTAGCTGCATTCAGAGTTGTTGAGTAACTGGCTAAAAAGTGCTTAGTTATGTATTGATTTGTGGAATGGCGCAATAACCATCAATCAATACAGTTGCTCTACATTATCGAACTGGTAAGTTTTCAAAATACTCAATATTCAATGCTATATAAAGAAAAAAAACTTCACGATGGATCTTTCAATATCGAAATTGGGACTGTGCGGAATCCTTGTTTGTGACTTCAAAATTGGGCCAAATTTTCCAGAGCTCACACGATTTATGCTTTGAAACGAGCCGAACGAAAGGTCCGTCTACAACAAGTGACGCCAGTGGGATCTGCTTAACTCTTTCTATATCTATAACTTTATAGCTGCTTAGTATAAAAATCTTTTAAGCACGTTTAGTTGTAAACTTTTATTCAATTAAACAAAGTCCATCAAACGCTTGAACGGTATTGAGAAGAGATTTAGATAACATTGAAAAATTTTAAATAAAAAAAAATCAAAACTTTACATAACTTCAATAACATTAAGTAAACAAAATAATGATCACTTTTTGTGAAATATATGGCCTATCCACTATGTAAAATCACGAAATGGATGACTTTAGTTTTTTTAGTTTTGTTTGTGACTTTGATATAAGTGTTTTGAACAATTAAGTGAATAAAAAACCCAACACAATATTTAACAAACAACAAGTATTTTAAAAACTTGAAAAACGATTAGTCAGTCAAAGGAAACTCGATGAGGTTAGACTAACAAATCACAAAGATTTTGATGTATCAATGTTATTTTAATGGTTGATGAAGATCGACAAATTTATTCAGGAGAAGAGCATTCAGTCATCGTAGAGGATCGGCTGAAAATAATGATTTGAATAATCATTTCACCGTCTAGCTAGATAACGCCCGATTTGTGTCACTCATTCTGAAACTCACATTTCCATGTGGGACTCCTTTGATGACTTTATCACAGAAGAGAAGATGTCCCTTACATCCATCTTCCACACACAACGCCTTCTTCCAATCCTAAACCATTCAACTTTTCTGTGCCCATTGTATTTCCTCCACTCACCTTTCTTTTTCTTCCATCCAGACTCGGGATTTGTTCTTTGAGAGCCTTGACAAAACATTGCTCATGAGCGAAGAATTTGGGGACTGTGTGATTGCATTCAAGCTGTAAGATTTGAGTTGAGTATTCTTTTAAAATCAAATACCAAAAAAGAATTCTCGAGTTCATAAGTGAACTCTTTTCCACAAGTGACACATCGCTTCTGGGTGAACTCTGGTTGTGGGGTTGATTGGGCGGGTGGAGGTGATGGGGCTTCGGGAAGAGGCGCGGGGGTCCACGGGGTGAAGCGTAATCTGAACAATTGAGTTAAGAGCATCTTTACTGCATGGATCTTGAAAATTTTTAAAAATAACGTTGTCAATGACCAATTTCTTTGTTTTGAGTTCCCTAATTCATCTCACTTTTGTCGATCCTTTTGTGGCGGTTTCGTGATTGGTTTCTTCTTGACTTCTTCTCTAAAAACAAGAAAAGTTATGTATCATTGCTATAATTTGAATATTTAGTTCTTGTACTCACTCATCAGCTGAACTCGTTGTTGTCGATGGCTTGATCTCGCCCACTTCATCTCTAAAAAATAGACGATTGATATAGAAAGCGGTTTCAGAGCTTTCATTTGTCTATCACTTAAATGCTGCTTACCTGAGCTCCCAGCAGATGATGATTGTAAAGAAGAGAGCAGACACCGGCGAAACACTGTACTGACACATGTTCTCTGAAAGTTACAATTATAAGAATTGCAAAGTTTTTGGGTTTTACGAATACACACCTTCGAGTCGTTCCATAGCCATGCCAGCCGTCGCAAACCGTCGATTCCAATAAATATAGTTTTCTCTGTTACTGGTAGCCTCCCTACATTTCAACATGATGTAATCAAGTAGATCCTTGCTCAAGACGTTTGTCAAATATTTAATGGCAACTAAAAAAATTAATTAGATACATTTTTTAGAACAAACCTTTGACCGGTTGTTGTGAGTTCTCTCTCAATTCATCGATTCTCTTGATCACTTTGATATAGCGTTCATGTTTCGCACAATCGTTCCCCGAGCCACCGAGTTTCCCCAAAATCGCCACGGCTTTTTTGTCGGTGAGAAGATCGACGACAAACTTGAGAACATATCGCTGTGGATCCTCTACAACCCCTTTTGGCACATCCAACGTCGATGTCATGCTGAAAAAAACAATCATTATAGGCTTATCACTGAATTTTTACTTTACAAAAGTCTTATCAATTTAAAATTCATTCCAATCACCTGTTCTTCCAGAAGCAAAATTTCCAAACCAAGAAAACCACGGAGAAGCTGGTTAGCGAACGAAAAAAGCGCAGCTCGGAAGTACGAGATAGATCGGATAAAGCTGAAACACGTTTCAAATCAGACACGGTACTCATAATATACCTTCCGTTTTACTTCGGTGTATAGCTTGGTGAACGCTTTCGAAACGATCAGTCCATAGCATGAAATGGGAGATGTCACTGGTCAGTTCATCGATTCGTTGATAGAGAAGTTTGAGGAGAGTTTCGTCAAACAAATGAGCCAAATAACGGTCGATCTCCGAGCACGACACTTCATTGGGAGAAACTGGAAATGAAAAGAATTTTTAACATTTTTAGACTCTGATTACAACTAATGGCTTTTAATTATGTAAGGCTCAGCTTCTTATCAGTAATAAAATGACGAACAGAGAGTTTTGTGGAGTTGATGCATGATCAATTGTGCCGCATCGTTTGTCCGTTTCCAGCGATCACAATCTGATTCCAATTCATCGGAGAGCTTCTTGTTCAGTTGTTTCAATGGTTCTTTTCCGAGAAAATCTTCCAAAAAGTTTGTGATTCCCATTCCACAAGTGGCAAATTTTGATTCTGAAGACGTTTAATCAGTTTCTCTTTAAAAACTTTTGCATACCGGTCGTCAACTGCTCGCTTCTGATATAAAGGTAGCCTTTTGTGGACGTTGGTTGACCAGTTGGATTCCTGAATGGTGATAGTAATTTGTGTTCTCAAAAAGAAACTGAATGAAATGAATGAAAAATAAGCAAAAAATAAAAACCCACCAAGCTCGTCCCCTCTTGTTCTCGATTTTCTCTCCACGTCTTGTCCTGTAAATTCAATATTTACGGCTACCCCGCCCCCTTTTTTTCGATTACCTCATTTGTTCAAAAAGATCCCAACTAAAGCCAATAAGAGCGGTCATTATGAACATATCGAAGTGAAGATGTGGATCATCTGATGGAGATTGTCCATCTTCTAAAGTTGATGAGTGTCATGTTAACTTGGGTAACAACTTCAAAAATTCAACAAAAGTTTAATAAAACCAACGCTTCAAACATCCCAATTGTTCCACGGCCAGTTTAACCTCATCAAATCGACCACTCCAATAGTTGAACAGATTGACATCGCTGATCGTCTCCTCGTATTTATTCGTCAAGTATTGGGTGTCTGCTCGGCCAATTGCCTTGATCAGAATGGCATGATATTGTGGCAGCTCGTTGGCTAAAAAACTTCATTGATGTCAAAGAAACTATTCGTAATTTCTGATTTCTTTTGCTACAAGGCTTGTAAGCTCATTATTCCAAACTTTTAACTCATCAAAAGTTAAAATTTCCGCAAGATTTTTCTGTTTCCCGTAAAAGCACTTTTTACATAAAATACCCAACTTGTCATCAGTCGCTCTTGCATTGACGAGCATCCCGTGTAGAGACCGGACCAATTGTTGAAATTCTCCGCATCAATCTTCCCACCACGTTGTCGATGAAGACTCGCGAATCGCTCCACTTCAAGTAGTTCCATCAAAAAATTCTTGATCAACTTTCCGCATTCATCGAAATTCATTTTCTCTAAAAATTTCAAATAGCAAAACGCCTCGAAATAAAATCAGCCTACCGATGTATGACCACAAGGAGTTGGCTTGTAGAGAGT